TAATCAAATTTGTATATTATAGACCGCTCTTACTAGATAGAGTGGAGACATCTAACAATGATATAGACTTTTACAATTTCCAACAGAAATATATACGAGTTGACGATAATCATTTGAAATATTTATGCGTATTTTCTTCGTACGGTCGAACCTCTATAAAACGGCCCTCTGATTAGCGGTCGTCCTCCATTAGCTTGTTACTCATGAACTCAACAAAAGTCCAATCTCATACACCTATTTCAAAAAACGTTTTTAGGGAGAACGGCGAACGACAATTGTCGAAGAGAGAATGCACGACGGAAAGGGACTATGGTTACACTGTTTTGACCTGCAAAATTTCACTTATTGGATTCAATTTGCATAGAAATGGAGATTAAATAAATGTTCACCACAGACTTACGTTATAAATCAGCTGCCATTTTTCATCAATTAGCAAAACCCATGGCTACTTTCGGTCGTGCAATCTTCATTCGACAATTGACATCGGCCATTTTATCCGACAACCTTTTTTGAAATAGGTGTATATATTTACTACAAACGTTGCTTCTAGAATTGACGGCAAACCTCTATAATGTAGTCACATCTTCTTCCCCTAAAGAGGTTTGATTGTAATACGTATGACTATCGTCTTTAGCGTTGACAATCCTTTATAAATTTACAGTGTCTTCACTCCGTATTGYATTTTATGTATAATATGCACTGATAAGTCTATGGAAGGGGCAAACCACTATTAAATAGGTAACTTATAGCAAGTATGCATGTAACTTGTAAGGTATAGATAGGTATGGTGTATTTATTTTCTAAATAAAGGTGTCTATATTTTTACACATCGTGTTTTGATTTCAATTCTACGCGGCTATGTATTTACGTTGGTTATTGAACACTCTGTCTATTTTCTTACTCATTACAGAACATATCAATTTACTGGGTATTACGGTCTACCGGCATCCCTTTCGAGCTTTTGCTTATGTTTTAAAAGAAAAAAAACATCGTTATGTATTACAGTAAGCAAAATCGTACTTTTATAATATTTTTATGCTATATGAATGGAGATATTGAACGATTCGATCTTAATAACGACGGATGGAGGCGGCTTGTGATTGGATAATTGAAGTGACCTAATTTTACGTATGAAAACACGACTGCATTAAATGACGGTGGAACATAGCCCTTTGAAAGTTCCCTAGTGATGTATTCTGTGAAACGATTCTTGGTTTGCAACCACATGACAGAGAATCAACTGAGAAATAAAGCCRCTAGAAGCTATCGTCGTTATCTTGGATAAATGAAAAAAAGAAAAAATGGTGGATTACTTTGTTATTTTCATCCAACATGGCGTCTATGACGTAACGTACGTTTTTTCTAGCTTTTTGATATCTTACATTTTGTTTTCACGTTAACTGCCTTAATGTCTATATTTATATTGCAGTTTWAAGTAATAATCTATTGTTATCAATCCTTACTAAGTGCTTAATGTTTTTTGTTTTGACTTTTATCAAATACATGTCAACCATTAACACAGACAAAGTCTCCTTCAGCTAAGAATCGGTCCGTCTCGCCTGAAACCAGCCGCGTTGCAGRAGACTKTGACCTAGTCACCAGACCCGCCTCGTTTCGAGCTTCAACAACCACRTAAAGAATRTCGTTAGCATATACGCCTTGATCGATATTTACGTCAATTGTAGCGCTTGTTGTTACGCCAACATCTCTTGGTTGTACAACACTGGAAGAATGGTTYTGTTTTTCCAAAGACAATTTAAAACCGGTTATTCCTGTTTCTGGGTCGTAAAATCCTGACCAATGAATTCTTAGGGTCGTGTTGTAGAGATGACAGTTTGAATGAATTCCAAAGACATCGTGTGTGCGGTCTGGACTGACGATAACAGTGCCCTGTGAAAATTGAGAAAAATATAAAAATGAMTTATTTGATAAACCTTGTCGAGTGTTTTTCGTCGTACAGTCAAATAAAAATATATCTTTAGTGTCTYATAGTCACTAACATCAAGAAGTAACAATGAATAAATATTTAATATTTTTATGACCAATTTATAATTCATCAATATGGCTGACAGCAGATGATTCAGTAAACTAGCTATCAATATTACAAGCGCTGGCCTACATGTGGAACTCCTTAATTCACTAAAATAAACTAGTTCCAGTACCTTTGTTGGCGGTGTGACGTCAACCAACACCCCAACGTCTGACGTCAGCCTTTTCTCCAACCCAGCATTGTTCACGCATCTTACTTCAGCAGAGTACCGCTGACCATGTTGTAGAGTCAGGTTGCTGAATTCAACTACATCTGGGGAGCTGAACGATTTTAGGATGGTCAYCACGCCCGAACTGTTATGGACTCCTACTCTGCAAGTCTTTATTCCACTCTCAGGGTCATTAAAMCCACTTATATTGTACTTCAGCTTGCATTGGTTGACGCACGAGGTTACTGTAACCACAGGAACAATTTCTCCCKTAGTTGGCGGGGTAAAATCGGTCTGAATGGCTTCTGTTGWTTTTACAGTATAAAGATCGGCGTAGTTCACTACTCTTACAATAGCGAAGTATTTTTCATTGTGGCGAAGTACACAATCAGTGCAGGACACATTTGTACTTGTASCAGGAAGCAGCGTCATCGYCTTGATTTGACAGCTTCTTGTACTTGTACCAATGCAATATTCTGTGGACTTGATTTCGCTTTGTAAGTCAGAGGATTGCCAGGATACAATAATRTTATCTTTTGGACCAATCCATGATTTTTGGATTTGCGATAACTGCAAATTATGATGGTGAATCGTTAGTTAAAGGCTGTTTATCATGTTAAGGACCGTTTACACTTACAATTTTTGCAGAGCGATTCTCGCGGCGATCGTCTCCCAACTATCGCCTGATTTTCGAACATGCTTGAAAATTGGCTGCAACTTCGCGGCGATTTTCGATCGCTGCAACAATCGCAGGGCTGTTTCACGTACGATTTTAGTTGYGCGATATAAAGTGGCGATTATCGCGCTGCAATATCGCAAGTGTAAACGGGCATTTWGGTAAATGACCTTGTTTATACCAAAATACTGAAATGATGTTTTATTCATCATTTACCTCATATATAGTGTGTTTGTCAGGTCCGGTTGTATGAAGGGTGGATAAAATTATCAATCGGTTAAAGTTATCCACTCCTTAGATTTTGTATGGATTTTATCCGCCAGATAAGGATTTATCCAGTGGATATCTCTATTTATAAGCTTTTTATACGGCAAAACAAAGTACATATGAATGAAATTACCAACATTCATGTTCATACAAGAACGTTATCTTTTGTGCAATGAAGTAGTAAAATCAATATATATTTGGTATCAACATTCCATTACCTTCAAGTCTGGTGGAGATACGTCGACWATGAATCCATCTGACCATCCCTGAGAGGTTAACCCTGCTTGATTGGTTCCTTCTACAGTGACGTAATARGGYCCACCAGGAACAAGGGTAATATTTACCATCTTTCCTTGTCTCTTCAAACCAACATSTCGGAAACTAATTACGTCATCTTTCCCAGGCGAGGTTCCTAAGCCCCATCGATAWCCMWTAATGCTRCTYTCAGTGTCTGTAAATGCACTCCACACAGTGCTGACGGTGGTGGTGTCGCTTGTGAAGTTGACATCCTTGTTAAARTTAAGGCCATCAATAACAGCGCTTGTTTCTGGAGGAGTRAGGTCGACAACAACTCCATTTGATGCTGAAGTTACAGTGAAACCATCACGATTAGAACAGGTTATCTTATTGATGTACTTAGAACCAGGCTTAAGAGCTAACCCGTCACGTGTTTCCCTGCCTTTAGGACTAACATCTTGTTYAAAAACAATTGTATCATTACCATAGTACGACCCATCGYCAGAAGGCGATTGCTCTATAAGTGTCCAAGTGCAGTTTTTTACGCTAGTGTCTCTATCGATGAAACCAGCCCACTGTATTGATATACTATTTGTTGTATTCATGAAGTCGATATCTCTGCCGATTCCATCAATARCTTGTCCACGTGTTGGTGGCGTGGTGTCGATGGATATTTTATCTGATGTCATTGTTGCTGWAAGTCCTGCATTATTTGTTACAACAACCGTTACGTARTACCCAGCCAATGAAACAGGCTTGAAAGARGGTAGAACCKCCKTTTYAGAGATACCAGAAGAARTCTTGCTCGTTTTACAACTCCYTGGTGTTGTYCCAAYACAAAACTYAGAYTCCATGATGCCACTTTCATCATCTTTAACTCCAGACCAATCGATTTGAAGATCAACTTTWCGATYTGAGTGATCCGATACARCAAAGGTTACCTTAACGTCAGATGTAACTGGTGGAGTGGTATCAACAAAGAACCCGTCAGAYGACTTTGAGCTTGATAATCCGCTTACTGATGTTCCCTTAACAGTGATGTAGTATTTCTGTCCAGGCTTAAGTACATCTAAGTCAGGCTCATCTGAAGCTAAGGTCACTTTGTCCTGTAATGTAAGTCCTGCGCTTTTGAACTTCATGATATCTTGGTTACCAGGTGACGTTCCTATTGCCCAGGCATAATTGCTGACGGANCAAGTAGTCGAGATCTTTGCCGATAGTCAGTCCATCCCTGACATCGCTAGGAATTGGCCACTGCGATACAACACGGAATCCATTGGATCGCACTTTTGCTGATAGCCTAGCACGATTGGTACATTCGATTACGTTATAGTAAAGTTTACTTGAATTAAATGGAACAAAGCGGTATGTCTGATTGGCTGATATTATTTGCTTTGTTCCTAGCTTATATGGTCCCGAAATGTCCAACGAGAAGACTTCCTGGTCATCACCATCAACAATTGTCCATTTGCATTTATCGATACCACTTTGCCTATCCTCTGTTCCTTGCCAGGTTAGCGATATATTCCAGTGAAGAAGAGCAGTTTCAACATCTTTCCCAGAATCATCGTCGCCGTCGAGAATGCTACTCAAATGAGGCGGTGAAGCATCCATGAGCATTCCGTTTGATGTCTTTGTTATGGATAACCCTGCACCGTTAGTAATGTCTACTGTAACATACACCCTCTCCCCTGGTTTGATCTTGCAGCTCTTGCAAGTGAACGATGTCTCGTTGGTTTCAGTAACGCCTTTAATTTGGCATCCGAAAGGTGTWGTACCTAGACAGTACCTACTCTTTAGTATGCCACTCTCAGGATCTGATRCKMTTTCCCAGTGCGCCTKMACKAGATCTTTTGGGTTGATGAATTCCCAATCGACCTTACCAGCACCATCCATSACACTACCKTCTGGTACTATKGGTGGGGTGTTATCAATGAGTARAGGGAGCCCTKGGGCTGTGGTGTTTARACCAGCAGCATTMACRCCRTAKACAGTTATATAGTACATCRAACCATAATKAAGATTTAAATCAGATCKYACGATTTGTGTTKCCAWTCYWACATYATAKAGAGTCACWATGTCATCRYCKARAGRAGWAGWACCAAYRGACARCAWRTATTTYTYAATRGGACTCTCAGGRTCWCTAAAYGGAGGCCAYGTGATYGWAATCGATSYATWGTCGGCTTGATACTGTTTGAAATTGTCGCGTGACACCCCAACAATAACATTTCCCTGGACGACAGGCGCTGTCGTATCAACTATAAATGGGTTGGATGTTTVAGTGGTAGTCAAGTTGGCCTTGTTGACGCATTTCACCATGGCTCTGTACTTTTGACTAGATTTGAAAAAGGTTTTTCGAACAGGAACACTACCGGCATCTTTTTCTGTCGCTTGGGTGATGAAAACCTGCCCTAATGAGCTTGTAATGGAAACATCGCAGAAATCGATACCACTTTCTCTGTCGACGAAATTTTTCCAATATACTGTTACATAATCTGATCCGATATACTTCTGATGAAGGTCAGGATCACCGACATTTACAGAACCAGTATTCGGTGGAGTTTTGTCCATCATAAAAGCCTCAGAACAGCTACGAGAGACCAGATTAGCCCTGTTGCGTGATGTCACGGTCACGTAATATCTTAAACCATCAATGAAAGTCAAGTCAGACATTGTGGTGTTTGCATGGGTTGAACGACCGATGTTGGTTAAAGATTGAACCTGTGTGCCACACTTTGATGTCCCAATAGCCCATTTGTAATACCATAACTCGCTTTCATTCTCTTTAAATTCTTTCCAGTTAGCAAAAATCTGTGACGATGATGATGATGTATAAAATGTTTTGTCTTTGTCATTGTAAATCCAGTCACTGTTGCCTACAATTCCAGGTCTGACTTGAGTTGGATGTGGTGCTGTAGAGTCTGCGGTGACACCATCCGATTTAATTTCGCTGACCGCGCCAGCGTGGTTRTAAACTTTTAGATGCACAATATATGTTCTGCCGTTGACCAGGTTCAGTGGCTGCTCACTTTTCACATGCGTAGCTAGTCCAGCATCTACATAAGGTTGAACAACGTTTTCATCTTTAGTGTTATCTTTGATAGCCCATTCAAACCTTTCTATTTGACTCTGTAAGTCCCATATGCCTTCCCAGTTGGCTGCAATGCTTGTTAACGAGGATTGGTATTTCAGATCAGGCTCGAGAACTCCATCGTTGACGATTCCCTTACTTGGTTTAGTCTTATCAATGAAGACGCCATCAGAACTTAAACAAGACTTTAAGCCGGCGTTGTTGATGGCGCAGACAATGAAGTAATACACSTCTTCAGCAAGGGAAAGACCAGTAGCTCGAGCAGAAGTTTGAAGTCCAACATTAATAAAAGGTGAAATATCAGGAACGCCGGCTTTATTTCTGCTTATACCGTATTCATAGTGTTCAATACCAGATTGAGGGTCTTTCATACCTTCCCAGCTGCCAGACATTTCGGTTAAGTTCGCTTGATAATCAATATCTATTTGTGTAACCCCGTCAATCACGCGAGCTTCTCGAGTATCTGGAGGTGTTTTGTCCACCATAAAGCCATCTGAAGTTATCTCTTTACTATAGATACCAGCCATGTTAGTTGCCTTGACTTTGGTGCAGTATCTTTGACCGTTTATAAGATTAAGGTTTTCAATAGACATCGAAGAGGATAGAGCTGATGATGCTGGAACAAACTTGTTATTAGTGATGTGGTAGTTTCCCTTGGAACAGCTTCCCACTGCATAGTAGTACTGTCTTATACCAGTGTCAGGTTCATTAAATCCTGTCCATGTTGCCWTTACAAAATTGAGGCTTACTTGGTAATCAATATCTGTTCCGTTAGTAGAACCATCACTAACTGATCCTGGGTGAGGAGGTGTAGAATCAGGAATGATCACATTAGAAGAAGCATCAGTGTATAGAAAGGCACGGTTATACGCTCTTATGATAACTCTGTACGATTGGCCGTCCGTCAAACTAAGTCCTGAAAAGGATGCTGAAGTTGTCAAACTAGAACCCGATACTGGTTTGAAGTCAGAGGGTTTGACACTTTGCTTTGCTGGAATAACTGCCCAATCGTAACGGAGCAAACCACTGTGACCATCTGAAAATCCGATCCACGTAACATCAAGTGTTGTTATGCTTGCTGCGTAAACGCAAGGTTTGCCTTTGTAGACGTCTTTKATTCCACGGACTTCAACTTTGCCATTAAAAACAGGGCTTGACGTATCGACGATAACTCCACTGCTTCTTACATCGGTCGACAATCCAACAGCGTCAATGGCTCGAACAGTAACGAAGTATTTAATTCCATTTTTTAAGGAKAGCCCTGTATGGGTTATTGATGTCTGCATACCGACAGATGTCCAGCCAACAACTTCAGTCGTACTGTCGGTGATCTTGTACTGGTAGCCCACTATTCCACTTCCTTTGGCGCCATCATTAAATCCATTCCAATTGGCTGAAATTGCAGAGCCATTTGATTGATGCYGAACATCACTCTTTAGACCATCATTGACTGTTCCAGCTTTTGGGCGATCACGATCAATGAGAACACAGTCCGAAGTCGCTTCCGCGCTAAGAAGGGCTTTGTTATATCCTTTGACTACGGCACAGTACGTTTCCCCGGAGACCAAGTTGAGACCAGTAGCTGAACCAGAACGTGATGAGCCTGTTGATTTGAATGCAGTAATAAGACCCGCTCCACGTTTCACAGCCCATTCGTAGCGTAAAATACCACTATGTACATCTGTAAAGGCATCCCAGTTTGCTGTAAAAGTATTGRTCCACTTTGCGTACTTGGCATCTACACCAGATGTGGAGCCGTCATAAACCTTTGATGGAGTTGGCTTTGATAGATCTACAATTACTCCATCACTAGTGCTATCTGTGTAAAGACCTGCTTTGGTAAAGGCGCGAACCACGACTTTCACCARAGACCCATCCACTATGTTGGCAAATGTCTTTGACACTTTGGTATTGACACCATTTCCAGTAAACGGAAGAAGATCAGAAGTCACACCACTGCCAAAAGCAGTATAAGTCACCCTCCACTCGTACTTTGCAATACCATTTCTGGTATTGAAGCCACCCCAATTAGCTTTGATGTTCTTAGTTGCTTGGTAATCAATGTCGGCAGCAGTACCATCATAAACCCATCCAACTTTTGGTTTCGTCGTGTCTATGGTGACAGGACTTGAGCAAACAAGTGGACGAACTGCTGCTCTCATATCTACGGCTTGTATTGCTACCTTATAGCTCTTGTTATCAAGGAGTTTTAGGCCAGTAATTGTTTGTTTTGTGTTTGTATTTGCAAAGACTCCATTGGCAATTGAAGTTGTCGTACACTGAGAGGAACCATCCAGCAAAAACCACTTGTATTTCATGGCTCCGCAGGAGATGGAGAACCCAGTTATGCTCTGATAAAGAGAGGTTGTTATATGCTGGTAGGCGGCGTTTGAAGTAAAAGTGGGATTCCTGAATTGTACTGAGCCGGTTTTTATGGTTATAACGTCGGTCACATCTGCAGGGCATGCCCCAAGTTTACCATTACATCTGCAAACATTCATAATAGTTATAATAAATGATCGTGACATTGATTAGATTATGAGWACTAGTTAAGTGTGAAAAAGTTTCTGATTGCAGAAAGGATTCTGTCACTTTCCAGACTTCTTTAAGCATAATTTGGAATCCTAAATTAACAGAATTAAGGTTTTAAAACACTCTTCCGCGAATAACAGTATCGATTCTCAACCAGCAAGTTGTTCAACATAAACTTTCTTTATAGATTTTCTAGGGGTTTCATTAGGATTTCTACACACCTTGCTTTCTAAATAAGGTGTTCATATCAAACAATTGCCTAACATTCGCGCGGGCTGCCTGTGTCTTTTGAGGGTTCCTTATTTTCAAGGATGGGAGGGGAATAGGACAAAATTATAATGGCCGACATGTTGAAAAGCGATTTCTCTGCAAATTCTGTAAGTTTTAGCCATTTTAAAACATTAAAAGGTGGAAAAAACTTGAAAAAAAACTTTCTAACGTACTTCATTATAATGTAAGATTACCATATATGGTCAGCAAAAGTTTGGCAAACGAATGAATTTTTCTCTGAGGCAATTGTTTGATATTTTTACTGATGATGGCATACGGTACATCGAAACCCCATGTTTAAGATTTAAAAAATTAGTCTCAAATAATATCGTTATATAGGATGAACACTATTCCCATGAACATCTTTTGTAAGCATAATTGTTAGCCGTATTGTTAACTTAAAGATATCAAGTAATCGAGATTTTTCAAAGTAGCATTCTTCTTATAGCTCTTACACCTGTTGGACTGTTGTGGATAATGGATAATATCATTTCACTTTTAAAATCATTAGCCTTCTTGATATACCGCCTGTTTCATTATTTATCATTCTTACTTTTCTGGTTTGTCACACGCGTCCTTGGCTGCTCGGCATATTGTACCCACTGGACGCATGATATCATTACATTGCCCATTCCCCAGACATAGTGAAGTCTTAATGCAGCTTGTACTTGGGTAAGATGATTGACAGCTGTATTGTTGACCAACACACTTTCCCTTGTCACAAGTGTCTTTATGAGTACACGCTTTTCCATCATTGCAAGGGACGCTTGGACGGTTTGTCCAGGTTCCTGACGGCTTTGATGCAGCGTCATAAAGATTGCACCACTGGCATTGATTGGCGGGGTTTAATTGCTGATGGCTGTAATCTTTACCTAAACATTTGTAAAATGAGAGGGGTCAGGTTATTTAATGTTCKCTTTTCATTAGGGTGGCACGGGTGGCCTAGTGGTTAAGCTACTGGCCTCTCACCGCTGTGAGACCATATGTGAGTTTGAGTTTGTTTGTTGTGTTGTTCTCTCCCTTGCCACGAGGGTTTTTCTCCGGTTCCTCCGGTTTTCTTCCCTCAGTAAAAATCAACATGTGAGGAGTGTTGTGTGCTAAAAATACTTAATGTAGAGGTAGTGAGTGTGAGTTGGGAGGGCCACGAGTTTATCAGTCTTTGACTGTAATGTGCTACCCTCGTAAAATAAAGTTATTTATTTATTTATTTATTATTATTTATTTATTGACCGATTCAGGAGGGCTAATCGTTTCTTAATATAAGTAAAAATAATCTGTGTCAAAACCAGGCTATAACTGAATAGGATACACTGCAACACTGGTTTTTAAACAAGATAAGGTCAGCGCAGACGGTGTTTATATAGTTCCAGCTTTACTTTTCAGCAGAGATTTCGCCATATCCGCAAAATTAGTTGGAATAAATCAAAGTTAAAGAACATGGAAACATAACTTGGTCATAACTTACGTGAGGTCCTCTCACTCGTTTAAAAAGATATGAAAACTTACCTGCAATTTTACAAGTACATTTTCCTTGAACAAAACCAAAGCCAGTCTTTTGACTGCAATCCCGACCGTTGCAAGTCTGACAGTGTGAGTTGCATGTGAATGCCGTTCCTGTGCATTGTCCATTTGTGCAGGTGTCGGACTTGGTGCATTTATTGCTGTCGTCACACGATACGCCATTACGGTTGGACCACGTGCTTGTACTTAACCCCGTGTTGCACCACTGAAAATGACAAAACAGTACTACATTGGCAAGTTGGTATTGGGGACTGGGTCTTGACTCAATGATACCCTTAAAGATGGTGGGAACTAGCGGTGAACTAGTGTGAGYTACGCCGGTGTTTCTAAAGAAACAGTTTTGTAAAAAGATAAATTAACACCGTAAAAATTTTGGTGAAATGACTTACTACTTTATTTCACCTAGTACTTTTTTACGATGTCAAATGTATCTTTTTTACAAAACCATACCCTTAAAGGCCCCATAGTAGGGCGGTTATTACATTGACCATTGTCAATGCATTGTGCAGGTTGTACACTAAACATTCCATTTTTCATTCATTCACTCATTTATTATAATCATCAACCTTCCAATTAAGTGACAGTTGGTTTTTGATCAAGTCTACGGTCAATATACAGCAAATATTGACGCCTGCCAATCACAATGGGACTTCTAAAGACATGGCAATAATTATCATAAGCGCTGAGACACTGAGGCCTACACCAACCTGACAAGGATTCCCTGGTTTGAGGTTCTGGTTAGCAAAACAAGTTGGCCGACTGTTGTGTTGGATCTTGCAGAAACCGCTTTTCAAAGGACAACCACTGCCGTCATGGCGCTCGCATGAAAGGCACGAGTAAGGTGTCCCACGACAAACACCGCTCACGCAACGATCGTCTTTTGTCTGGACATTGTTATCACTGCATTTTAGGTTGTTATTGATGGTCCACGTGTGGGGATTGTTGCTGTCACATTGCTACAGATATACAAGCAGATATATCAACATACTACGAGGTCATTTTTCTATTATTTTTTTTTTACTCAGTACTATATATAGAGTGCAAGCATTATAAAATAGTAACTATCATAATTAGAGATAGCTAGTGCAAAATCTAAATAGTGCTAATTTGTACTAAAGTGGACCTGAAGCAAGACGGCATTGAATGCTTCATTTGTACCAATTCAATTTAATCTGCGTACAGCATGCATGATTTGCTAAATACAACTAAATAGAACTATTTAGTTTGTACAGTTGCACGATTTAGAGTCATTTTCATCCGTCTGTGAAATAGGAATTGTACGTAATGTTTACAACATGAGCGGCCGTGTTGTAT